CACTGATGATGTTCATAGAAATGTAAATTGCCTAATATGAATTTGAGTCAGAAAGAATCGTGAATGTAATGGAATGCAATCAAACATTTATGTTGCCTTGAACTATGAGCTCTGGGGAAAAAACAAACAAACAACTGAACAATTCTAAAACAGCCATAATGTACAGCTTCAAAATCACATCTATAGGCCGCAAAAGTAAATAATAATACACTCTAAAAAATGCTGGTTTAAATACAACCCAGTGCTGGGTAAAATAGGGACAAACCCAGCAACTGGGTTGTTTTGACCCAGCGGTTGGGTTAAATGTTTAACCCAACCTTCTGGGTAGTAACCCAACCGGGTTGTATTTAACCCAGCATTTTTTAGAGTGTAGCATTACATTATATTTGGTTTCTCAACGAAACAGAAATACAAGTGATGGTGATTTATTCTGTATTTTTCATAACTCCGGTTTTAATTCAAATATTTTCTAAATCCCATTTGGCAACTGCTCCACCAGCTTACCACGGTAAAGAGCAAAGGTCCATCGATTTTTAAAAGAGAGGTGGCTATTGTTAATATTTAATGCATCTGGAAACAGTAATTAAGTCTTCCCCACAGGAAATGGAATTTGACAAGCTCTGGAGAGCCAGTGAGTAATTATATTTGTAAAGAGCAGTGATACAAGATACTCCCCCCAGACTAGGAGTCGTTACACGCCATTAAAGGGTCCCGGCAAGCCCGGCCTAATCCACACGAGCGCACGCACACCAATCGATGCCCAACAAGACAGCATTTCTATAAACAAATTGTCTCTGGCCAAACTCTGCGTCTGATCAAATCTGAGTGCCACAGTATTCACATATCCCATCAGTCACAAACAGCCAGACGCCCCGTCCGCAGGACGCCAACAGCAGGAAAGACTCGCCGGTGATCTGGCATTTGTAATTAAATATTAAACCAGTAATGAGTTCTCAGCCATCTACATAGTGTGGAGTTCACATGCGAAATCTCCAAATAGGGCCCCTGGAGAGACAGGGTCCACACTTAGAAGCAATAATTATCACATCCACAGGACAGGTGGAAACGCTGCAGTGAGATGATAAAACTCCGGCGAGACTTATTAAACAGGTTTCGGTAATAAAGACTGTACAGTGCGGAGATCTCTGTTATTGTGTCGCAAATTTCCAGGCTGTATTCGCACACATCTAGAGTGCTATTTTCATTCTAGAGTGCTATTTTACGTGCTTCTCGAATAAGGCACATCCATGCATATATACATGAATTTTACATCAAACCCATGCAACCTACATACAGTCGTGTTCATGGAGCATACATAAATCAGAATAGCCACAAGGTAAACGAGGAATCTTTTTCATACCGTATAATTCTCTACTCATACCTTTAAGCTGCATAATTAAAAGCATGCTCTTTTTTTTTGTATTAATATCCTATTATTTATTTATTTTGCTTCCTTGGAATTGTTCACTCTGCTCTGAATTTCAATTATATTTGCAGCAGCTATCACTATGCAAATGAGGGGTGTCCTGTGTTTTAATAAAGGGAAAATGCAAAGTTCACAGTGCTGCCATCATTCCTGTAGAGATTGTACTATTAGCAAAACATATTTTGTAAAATATATGCCAAATATGACCTGATTGAGGTCAAATCAGGAAGGAACTACTGCGAGTAATTATTATTTTTCACACCAGGGTGAGTGGTATTACATTTGTATAATATATAGTGCTGTCAAATGATTAATCGCGATTAATGGCATCCAAAATAAAAGTTTTTGTTTACATAATATATGTGTGTATACTGTGCATATTTATTATGTATATATAAATACAAACACATGCATGTATATATTTAATAATAATATGTTATGTTTATATATTCAATATATTTATATATAATATAAGAATGTAAATATATACATATATATATACATGTAAATATTTTCAAAATATTGACTGTATGTGTGTGTATTTATATATACATAATAAATATACACAGTACACATACATATATTATGTAAACAAAAACATTTTTTTTTTGGATGCCATTAATCGCGATTAATCGTTTGACAGCACTAATAATATAACAGCATAGATATTTATTATATTTATATTTAAATTTGATTAATTTATTTAAAGATATACATTCTTAAAAACCATGCAATAATGATTCTTTGTAATATTTAAATACTTTCCAAATTTAAGGCATATTCTGTAATTTATGAATAAAATATTATAAAAACTAACCTTTTATGTCAATTTAATTCAGCTTCACATATAAATTAAATTAAATAAAAAAAATAATGAAATTAATATTCATTAAAAGAATTGTCAGAGCAAAATACATTTACAAGTAAAAACTCAAAGACCCCTGCGGTTAAAATCAAGTTTTTTAACGTTGTTTGTCTTTCTGATGTTTTTAATATGCTTGAAAGCAAACCATGCTAATTCATCAGTCAACAGCATCACTGTGCATTTTCTCCTTAAAGCTGCAGTGTAGACAGTCTCAAAAATGCAGTTTAAAGCAGCACTGTTTCCTATCGTCACAAACATGTAACCAATTCCGTTACTTTTCGGACTTTTCATATCCATTAGCTGTCTGAGGATGGCAGGAACAAGGTTTGTGAAACATTAGCAAAGCATTATAGCTGTTTGATAACCAAAGGCTAATGATATCAATTAAAGTGACTGCACGTGTCTGACATTGTAGGGAACGATACATAAAATGCATTACCATTCTGATACATTAACTTGTAGACGGCCATGTGTAATTCACTCTTCCTCTTCTTCTCTGAAAACAGTTTCTCATTCAAACATTTAATCCAGTGAATCCAATAGTGCCACCTGCCATTTTGTGGCATTTACTACTTCAGTTAACTGAGTGAAAGCGGAGCAGATAGTCTGAGCCAGAGCCGTTGCTCTGGTCTGAGCTGGTGTGATTGGGTGGAAGCGGGGACTAATTTGCATATTAATGGTTCTGCGTATACTAAATGAGGTAAGGGTGTAGAAATATATTTAAGCCATTTTAAGGCATGAAGAAATTATTTCCATGGGAAAAAATGTTTACATTTTTATTTTAATTATTAAAGATGAGTTTTAAGTAATACAATTTTTGACTGCAGGGCCACTTTAAAACAAATTGATGTTGAGCATGTTTACATGCAAACCTTATAATAGTATAACCTTATAAACCTTAAAACTTATAATAAAATAAGATTTTATTACTTCTATTACAAGTCATTCAAGACTAAACCTCATGGCCCTGACAGAGATGTGGGTCAAACCAGAGGACAATGCTACACCTGCAGCACTCTCAAATAATCTCTCTTTTTCCCACTCCCCCCGTCTGACTGGAAGAGGTGGAGGTACTGGTCTGCTTATCTCTAATGATTGGAAATTTAATCCTTTACCATCTCTGAGTATCAACAGCTCCTTTGAATTACATTCAGCCACTATTACCCACCCTGCAAATCACAAAATCCTACTGACCTTAATGTATATTGATCGCTTCTCTCTTCATTCTCTGCTAATGCCTCCACTGCTAAAAATTAACCATTCGCCTAACTCTCGCATGCTCTTTAAAACATTTTCCTCCCTCCTTTGTCCTCCTCCTCCCCCTCCTTCATCAACTCTAATATCTAACATCTTCAGAAGTGGACATTCGACCGAGACTGCCATGCTTTCATTTCTTGAAGCCCTAAGACTGGCAAGAGCGGCTTCCAAATCTTCTATACTTATTTTGCTGGATCTGTTTGCTGCTTTTGATACGGTGAACCACCAGATTCTCCTGTCAACCCTATTGGAAAATGGCATCTCAGGAACCGCACGCCAGTGGTTTGAGTCTTACCTCTCAGATAGGTCCTTCAAGGTATCTTGGAGAGGTGAGGTGTTTGTAAGTCGCTTTGGATAAAAGCGTTTGCTAAATGATTAAATGTAAATATAAAGCAAATCACTGATAAATATTTATATATTTATGAGTTGTGATGATAAATAACCAACCAAAGAAATGTATTCCAAAATGTCAACATGCATGTTATTTCCACCTCCCCTACAGTGAAACACTAGCACTGGTTGGATATGTGCTTAAATCTGCACTCAGTATAACATATAATTTTGTGTCACAGAGAAATCTTTTGTAAAATGCTTGATATATATAATTCAGCTACTAGAATCTGCTTTGGATGGGGCCTTAAAATTACCCTTTTCAAGTTTTTCCCCCCTTTCATTTTGACTTGTTTAGGACATATCTCAATCTACCTAGATGTGCATGTATATCTACATATTTCTACTGTTATAAACCATCACACGATTTTAACTCACAGTATTCAAGATATCCCTACAGTTGTAGATCAGTCCTTAACAGATGTGGGCCTGTAGGTTCAAACCCAGCAAGGAGTCACACATGAGCTCTTGATTAAGACATATGATTTCAAGTTACTGCAAAATGTTTGGTGCTATAACACATGCATACAGAATAAAGCATCTACTGAATAAGCACTTACCTAAAGCTCCTTAGTAAAACAAACACTTTTCTTTTTGGTATATGGGACATATTTGGATTCAGTATTCATCTATCGGCTTTATAAACTTACTCTGAAATACATTTTTTCGTTCTTATTTTTTAAATTAATGCATAACTGGATGACTGAACATTTTTCTGGAAAGCTTTTAAGAAGTACTCAACACAACACTGTGCAAGCCGAAAAAGCCAAGTAGACTGAACTTTGGCAAGAGTTTATATCTCTGTGAGCATTATTCTTTAATTCAGTCTCTTAAAATGTTTCTGCATTCATGCCTCAATGTTTTACATTTACTGATTCAGCAAAAAGCACTCAACTTATCATTCAAGTAAATGTAAAAATAGTAGTCTTAATACTGAACACTGAACCACAGGCACCATTAGCAAACATTCTTGCAGTAATCATTCTCTAATAAGTTAGTAAGTGCAATTTCTCCAATAGGACTGCTCCTGGAAAACGTTATATAACAAGGAAAAGTGCTTACCTAGGACGCCGACTCGAAAGTTGAGCGTGATAACGATGACGTTCCCGTAACTGGCCAGCACGCTTGCGTCAATCATGTTTCCGGTGCCCTCCATGTATGATCCTCCATGGATGTACACCATCACAGGCTTGGCTCCAGTGTCTCGTATGTCTGCAAGAGTGGCCACCATTAAACTCTCACTCCCCCACTGCCCCGTCAGAGCAAGATTCAACACAGCAGTGCGTCTCACAGTCCTCCCAGATACCAGCCACCAGCTCAATTACAGTTTGAAATGCATCTCATATCAGCAGAGTCATTTGTCTCTCGTAATGAACAGTATGCGCAAAACAGATATGAACAGATGAAGCCATATGGAAGGTCAGAACCTAACTGGCTATTGCAGGCGGCTCTAACATGCTTTAGTGGCCTAAATGATGAGATCATCTCAAATTTAATGGCCTTGTTAGACTTCGCTGCTCCGGTATACAGCCACAGAAGGGTTTAAAACGAGCAGCAATTGGGTGGGCCAAAATTACTTATCTAATAGGGGAGCACGCTAAAAGAATCGTTCTGCCAAAAATGAAAATGACCTTCATATTGTTCTGACCCCATATTATTGTTTTGTATATGTGAAAGGCAAAATCATCATAGGCAAAAGTGAATAGTGCTTTATACTGGCAAACTCCAAAAAGGACAAAAACCACCATAAAAGCAGTCCATTTAAATATTCCACGTTCTGAAGTCAAAACCAAATGTATGCCATTATTCTCTAAAAATTCTTCAGTTGAAAAATTGGGTGGGAGGTCACAGCAGGTTTGACGTTACTGTTGCCAAATGCTGTTGATTCTAATAAAGTGTAACCTCACATGTAGAATTCAGAAACACTTGTTATTGGCAACACCAATTTATTTGCTCGTGCTCTCACTCATGCACACGGAGCGTACTAGGCACTGAACGTGATTCGAATTTCTTTTTCATTCTTTGCTTAGAAGTATAAAAGAAGTTGAACATACATTTGCAATGATACCACTGTTAACGGATATTTCCCACGCGGCTGATAGCGATGTTTATATGAATATGTAAATATGTGCTGCACGCTTTCCTTCCAATAAAAAAATAAACACAGCAAAAATAACAAGTGAGAAAACAGCAGTTAAGAAAGCATCTGATCATAGCAATATAATCATTAAGACTGCACCAGCTACGCGTTTCACAGGCATCATGTAGACAGATGAGGTAATTAAAATTATGCTGTTGTGAGAGTTTGGTAATAAAGTATATTTGAGACTATATATATCTGGTTATGTGAGACTATAGTTTGAATTAATCCATTTTCTTTGCTTTAAACATGGACACTTAAGTACAGAATAGCTCTTTCGGAACATTGTATAAGCATTTGTTATGGAAGAGAGGGTCTCGGGAGCATGCATAAACGTCACAATTTCCCTGCAAAAAAATGTCCTTCACATAAATATCAGTCTACAGGCATTCTTAGCCAACCTAGAAAGGTGGGGAAGGTCGTTTCTTAAAGCTTCCCTACAAGCTGTTCACACATTGGCAATAAAAAAGGTGATTAATACATGACAATTCTTACATATAGCCCATTTAAATCTTAAAACAAAATTCTTAAGAATGACAAAAAAATCTATTATAAGAAATAGTGCACACATTGTATGGACTCATTTTTGGAGCTTGTCAGTAGGCTATACCACCATTCAGTTTCATAAAATGGAAAACAGAAGCTTGAACATTGTATACAAGATCTCATTTAGTGTTTCCTTGAAGAAAGACTATAGTACAGGTTTATAAGAAGATTTGTATTTTTGGCCAAACCATTCCTTTCAAATGCATCACCATATGTTCCTTATTTCGTTAAATGTTTTTGTATAGAAATGAATCAATCGACCATTATCAGTGTGTTATTTTCTGCTAATCACATAACATAAAACAGAAAAAGAACACAAGCTGTGAAAACTGTCTACTGAGATGAAAGAGACAGAAGCCTTGAGAAGCGAGCGCTGCTGGGCTAAGACTCAATATGCTGTATTGTATTGAGGGTTGCCATGGATACGGCAGATCAAAATTCAGAATCGTTGAGAATGGCTAATCGCAAACACCACTCCAGTGCATTTGCCCCCGTTTGCATTCAAGCCCTCCTATTAAAGATGCGCCTATTTGCATGTATGCGGTCACAGCAAATTACCGGCTGGCTTTTTCTTGTAAAAAAAGCATGTTATTTGCAATCACTGTGCCACTGTCTGAGCTTAATGTCTGCTTTACATGGCAAGAACACATTCACACGTTACGCTCCTGATCTGATGGAACAAGCGAGAATTGATTTGTATAGATTTTTTCCATTTCAGATCCGGCAGCTGAAACATTTACGGTTACGTTTAAAGATTTATCTGGTATCTGAGAGAAGTATGATAAGGCACTGCTTTGAAATTACAATTCTCTGTTGACACTTATCGTACGGAAGAAAGACAATGTATGGAGTGGGAAAAAAGAAGGTGAGAGAGAAAAAATGCACAAGATTCCCTGCACAAGGGATGCAGAGGATGAGATACCGAATGAAAAAGATCAATTAGAAAAACAGTACAAAGATTAGTCATGTCAATGTTATCAGTAACCTCTTTTGTCGATTCACATCATGTTGGTTTGTTGTGACATAAAAGCATAATACTCTGCTAACTGATCTCTTCTCTATCAAATAATCATATATAACGTCAACATCAAAATCAAGTTATCCCATTGAAGACACATTAAAAAAGATTCAGAATTCACATCCTGAGGAAAAAGAAGAGAAATATTGATTAAAATGCATTGTAAAGACACTTGCATTTCACAAACACGTCGTTTGAATAAACAGGACATAAATGACCTTGAACAGAAGGGGTGAAACTATAGAACATTAACTAAAATGTCAGCTTCATGAATGTACAAATATGTTCTTTGACATGAAAACATGACTCATTCGCTATGACACACACACACACACACACAGAGAGACTCACAAACAAATGCATATGTTTCATCTTCAAAAGCAGCGGGCAGCATGCATCTATTCCTTTATATTACCTCCATCAATCATCTCCAAGCGAACTAAAGAAGGTGAAGACCCCTGCTTCCTTATAAATGAAAAAACACTTAACACCTCTGAGCGCACGATGCGTAGAACGACCTTCTTCACAAAGTCTTCTGCGTCTCCATCAGAGTTGTGGTTAGGGTGTTAAAATATGGTGAATGTCAGACCCGGGCGGCAGCGCTCAGCGTGTCTGCAAAGCTCAGGAGGAGGACGCGTCAAGCTATCTGTGAACCTCTCAAAATTCTCAACGGGCCACCTCTCAACGGCCTGTCACTCTAGAGGAACTGGACAGCGTGAGCACTGATAAGTGGCCCAGACTAGCACTGATGCTGTAAAACATGGAATCTGTCAAACATTCTTAATATGAGCATTGTATGATCTCCCGAGCCGAGGTTTTGACTTTAGACCCCACCGCTGAGCTCATCACAGATAACATAAATGTTGAAGATCGACAGTTCCAGGTCAGACTGAATATAACTGAAGCCAGCATGGCTCGGACTCTGCAGGGAAATACATAATATACACATGCAGCCTTTATACAGCGTCTACCTCAAACTATCTACAACTATATACATATGTAAAATTTGATGAAGACCTTTGTGACCATTAAACAAGCATGTTCTATTAACTTCACATAGGCTTCTATAGCTTCACTGGGTTACATTTTATTTTAAAGTGTACTTGTTACAATGTAATTATACATTTAAGTACTGAGTAATATTAATTAACTACATGTACTTACTATATTATTTAGGGTTGGGATTAGGGTTTGTTTTAGGGTTACTTGCATGTACTCTGTTCTAGTCTGGATGCTGACTGAAATCCATCCTAACAACCCATGCATTGCATGTATATTATTATAATAGTAAGTACATGTAACATGTGTAACAAGGACACTTTAAAATAAAGTGTTAGCCTTCATTGTATATTAAAGTGTCCTTCTGATGCACACTTCAGAAGTAGAATGTCATCTGGGTATTTCTTGTCTATGAATACTGCAAATTGGGATAAGCTACTCATTTTAGTAAGAGAGTAGGCATATTGGGATGCGGGGGATGATGATGCTGCAGTGTTTGCACCACAACTTTTAATAGATTTTTAATACCACATATTGGCAAAGTGAAATGCAAAAGGTTTGCATGTGGCAATTTGTAGACTTTGATTTCAACGGCTCAACCTTAATCCAGATGGGGACGAGTAACCTTTGAAGAAGGTGGGTTCTTGAGGCTGGGCTGCGGTGTTTGTGCATTAAATATAATGGTACTAACACAGAGACAGGTGGTTTGATGTGCTCTTTGAAGCCCAGCTTCTAGCAGTGAATGAGGAGGAGGGAGAGACCGAGAGAGAGAGACAGAAGAGGGAGGGGGAGGGTGTAGACAGTTTGCTCTGAAACTCACTGCACCACCATGCATACTCCACATCAGACACCTCACACGCTACTAACCAAAAGCACTACCGCACACACACCTGCAGAGAGCTTATAATTATGCAAAATGACCATACTCTCATTTGCATTATGATGAAAAAGAAGAATTTGCGACAATTTCCTGAGACTGATGCCAAGGAAAATAGACTTTTACAAATACCTACCACCACACTGCTAGGGTGTCTGGGTGGTTGCTAAATAGCCCAGGTCAAAAACCCTCAACTCTTTATGATGTTCTGGTTTATTTAGCAGATTCATGACCCTCCTTCAGTGTGAAGGCCTATTTTCACCAGCACGAAATTTGGCCCAAATTTTGCATACGATTTCTCTGTTCAGACCAAAAAAATAAAAATAAATCACAAATGGACTGAATGAGGGGAATTTCACTTTCTGACTTCGGTGGCAATTACAGAAAAACATAAATACCCCAATTAACTTGCTACACAAAACGCTACATGACTTCCTGTTTCTAAAACTCACTTTTGACAGAAAATATAGAGGAAGTAAAACAGTATTCACAAATTTTCAAACAGATGTTCAGATTTTTTTTGTATCTAATATGGTGTTTATCTAACAACAACAAATACAAGTACACAGATAAGAGAGCTAGTTCTGGATTTCTCCTCTGATATTCACTTTGTCACTTAACAATATGTGTTTTATAAGTGTGAATTTGATTGGTTGGCCAGCTTTATTTGCAGTGCAATGGAAAAGAGATTAGAGAACACCTCCCAAAAAAAACCCCTGCTGGATGATATGTGATTATTTGTGTCGGTCTGAACAGAGGCATTAACAGCCATTCAATCAAATTTAAATATGTATCGCACAACATTTTTGCACCCAAAATTCTGTTGATACCCAGGCTTATTAAAAATACATGCCTCTGCCTACAATTCTGCAAAACTTTTCCTTGCACAATATTATGTAATGACATAATATTGCACTCCGGTGCAAATCCTGTGAAACAATGGTTCGACAAAACAGCTCATAGCACGGTTGCATCAGCGAATGTGTTTTTATATAAATTTTGCATTTGTTAACATTATCAGGTAGGTTTAGGGTTGGGATGGTGTGTGTTATTTTCCAACATGATAGAGCATTATTCTTTTAGTGACACTCCCTGGACATTTGAGTTCTGAACCGCCACAATATGCATCTGAACCAACATAATAAAAACACAGCAATACGTGCCTGTACCAATGTAATAGCCACGGTTGCACATTGAACACGTGTTTCAGTGCTACTCACTGAACATTTAACTTTGCAACTGCTGCGATACCAGTCAGGTATGTAATAATGTTGTTGCAGAAACGTCACCACAAGCGCGTATTTCCAGTGAGCCTGGGTTGCTCGTTTTGGTGTGAACAGACCTTAAGTATATTTTTAGTTTTCAATAATTTTCCATTTAAATAAATAATTTATTCCAATAATTAAATGCAATAATTCATTTAAAAAAATTCCAATTAATCAACACATTTCCAATGTAGAACAATTCCAGGTGACCATCATAAGTTCAATCACAACAAATAGCACACCTCTCCTAAACAATTTGTGTAATTTGTAGTAGCACTCAACTTGAGATGCAGGACAAGTTATACGCCAAAGTTTAATACTACGGTTAGTTTGTTAAAATAACTAGCTTACAACACAACCTATACATTGAAGCCATACAAATTTCCAGTCTGTTCCTTCAACTGTTGGCACAAAATTAAACAATCAGGCATACAGTACATCCAATTTGGCCAATTGTTTATATAACCCATCCTGTGTGACGGTGGGTACTGAACTCTGTTCTAGTCTGGATGCTGACTGAAATCCATCCTAACACCCAAGCAGGTGGAGCTGGCCTGCCCACTGGCACCATGGGAAGAGGGCTGGTGTCTGAAGGAGGGAAGGGCTCTTTTGTCCAATTAGGGCACATTGATAAGCAAGCCAAGCAATAGCTATGTGCATCTATTTGTCAGAGGTGGGGAAGACAGCAGACACATGAGACAAGGTAAGTCTTCCTGTGATATATCACTACTGCCTTGCTCTACATAAAGAATTAGCTCCCTGTGCCTAAATATACACCTACTTAATGTACCAGTACTGTAACAGCATACCTTAGTGCAAACTGTACTGGTAGGAGGTGTTATAGCTTTGTTTAGTAGCACCTCAGGTTGACTTAATTGCCAATGATGTTCTACAGAATGATAGGCACTGCAATCTGTTTGTGCCAAGCCTGATGACTGAAATAAGGCCAGACAGCTTGCTAGTTACATTATGTCATATGAGCTCAGTCTATTTCAGAGCTAAAGACAGACATCTAGGCTAAATCCCAAGTCCCACTGTATTCGTCCTATACACAAACCAGATTAGGATTGGTGCATCCCAAATAAAAGCATGGACATAATACTGCAATATTAACTTACTTGCACGCATTCCTACCTTAGAAGCAGATAAATTGGGATTCCGCTAGAGTGAGCAGAAAGAGATGGAAAGACTGGGATGTATTCGCACAGTTGCCTTGATTTTTGCCTAAAGGCTCCTGGCTGACCTAGCTAAGGGTTAAGTGTGTGGTGATGTCGTCTAGAATTGTTTGCCAAGGAAGACTGGCCTAGATTCACAATGATACTATGTAGTCAGAGAGGAGTAGAGGTTGTAAGGTGAACAATGTGTCATGCTCACTATTGCTATCTTTTGCAAATATGCAGTGGCAGCTCAATTCTAGACTGTGTCCTAGTATTGTTGCTTTGACTTGCACGCCTTGTTAGACAAACGGGGCATACTGATATATAGTTGGCTCAAGTGGAATATCATTCCAGCGCTGTTCAAGTGTCAAAACTAATTTGTAGCACTCTTACATTTGATAACTTCAGTGGAGGCTCAACTATTTACCAACCACAGCCTCCCAGTCTAGGCCAACTCATTTGCCACCTTTGCCTGCTTTGTATTCTTGTTTTATTTTAATGTTCCGGCATGCTTCACAAGCCATGTTCCCTATTGTCACTGTTGATGCCTTACCCCTGGGCCATTCAGAGTCAAGGAAAAATAGGCAGGCCATTGATGCAGGGTAATTGGCACCTCATGCAAAAAACATGCCTTGGGCTAGAACACATCTCAGTGGACTACATCTCAATGCAGAGCTGAATCCACGTCCCACTGGGACTGCTATGGCCGTAAATCCAACCTCCAGACCAAGTGGAAAAGCCTCTGGAAGGACATGCTGCTTGACTGTTGGAGCCTACTGGATTTTTCATGGAGAGCCACCACATTTGCACAAAAAATTGGATTGTCTGAACCAGCCAATTGCAACGGTAATGCAACCGCTTGGATTGGAAGTCCAAATCCTCCCGAGGGAAGCTTCCCTACATGTTGGGGGCTAAGAAGTGTGCATTACAAGGCCTCTGCCTCCGCTGGTATTGAAGAAAGTGTATCGACTAACACTGCTGTTAATACCCCTGACTGAGTCGCTTCAAACGTGAGGTGCTTCAGTTTCCATTTCGGCCTTAGACACTGCTGTGAAGTACAACAGCTGAATGGCAAACACAAAGCCAGTGTATCTGCTTTGTTGCCGCACCTGAACACGAGAGCTGAGAACTGAGAGCAGCACTTGGTCTAAACCAACAAAGGCAAAGTAGGGGTGTACAACCAGACCATAACTCCAGCACCGAACATGTCCCCCACCTATAAAATCTACTGTCAGTTTAGGAGCATAAAGGAACAACAATAACAGGATTTGAGATAGATTCTGGGGTTTAAAACTTTCGCAGTAACTGGGGAAGAATACTTTCCCTATTCTAATCTTGCCAGATATCCACCCTGAGCCCAGAGTATCCCAAGATAAATGCTGAAATTGAACAATGCTCTTGCTGATTGGCAACTTCTCTCGCGCGCATGCTTTTTCCTCCTCCGTTGCTAATCCTCTTACCACAACTTGTCAGCCTCTCTCTCCTCATCTAAATCCATTCGCCTGTTTTAAAAACTGTGTTGTGATACCCCATGCTTGCCTCATATGTGTCTCCATGTTGCTGAATACATACAGTGCTAGTCCTGTAAGCTAGAAAAACATATACAGGAGCCAAGCCACAATAAATAGATTTTAATTAACACATCATGAAAACATGTCTTTGCGCTGTATTATGGCCTAGGATCGAATTCTATACAACTATTACATGACTAAATGAGACTCAATGGAACGAGGCATCAAGCTTCAGCAATACAGCTTGCGTTATGTTGCATGCTGGTCAAGTACCACGACACAACACTCATTTGAAGTGAAACTTCACCTTTGACTTCATCTGCCGCGGACCCACGAGATGAAAGAGCGACAGATCCTGTGCATCTAACTATGAAGTGTTTTTTTATGACACAAAGTCATAGGCACATAATAACATTCCGAGACTGTATGTAATGTACTATATTCTATGTAAAGGAATAAATTATCAAATCAACCTTCCGTGATACTATTCGCAATGCTTCTCATGTAGAGATCAAAGCTTTGCGTGACGTTTGTGTTTAGCAGTTTGTTGAAGTTGAAGTATTTACTATTACTCTGTGTGATAACAGTAATGTGGTTATGGAACTGATTACTATTTTACAGTATATACATTATATATTATTTTAAAAAAATGTAGTGATTAAATTATTTAACATTTTAAAACTGGTTAATGGAAAAGTCATGGAATCCTTCAAGACAAATTGAAACGGCACCAGAAATTACACTGAACAGAATGCAAAATCATACTTACAATGTTTACAATGCATTACATTAATTGCTTTCAATATAATAATAACATATGTTTACTACTTACTACTGCATAAATATCTATGATTAACTATGAGATCGTGTTGATAATTAAAACTAATGAAATGTAAAGACATTTAGAAAACACTCAATAGCATATTGTTGGGTTTATGCTGTTCATGGTCATGTAAATAGATTTCAGTATCTGATTTTAAGTACATTGATAAATCATTTAGATTCTATGTTGGGTTGTGAAGCAAAACCAGCTGAGAACCACTGCACTAATTAAAACTATTCTAGCCTCAGATATACCATATACAACAGAAACTGAAGATAGAAAAAACATACAAAGCCACGCTACACCAACGCAATTCACTCTCACTCTTTAAAATCTCCCTGACATGCTAAGTATTGAAGTATACGAGACACTCCACATCCTCCACAGCCATACAAAGACTCAGATGACTCTTTAGACCATGAGAGAAGATAAAAAGATGCAAAAGGGAGGGCTGCATTCAAAGTACAGAGGCAAAAATCCAAGACATGCAATTGTCTTTCGTCACCAAAGTGAATACCTTCATCTTCATCACCGTCGTTATCGGATAAATCCTCACCCTGTTTTTTGGAATGGGTTCCTGTTAGTAAAGCAGGGAAAATACAGAGAAGAACAGGATAATTCAAAATAGTATGAACATCAAGACAAGAAATGTACCAAAAAAAAAAAAAAAAAAAAAAACTACAGTGTGATTAATATTAAACAGTATTCATTAACTTACATGAAACTGGCCAATAACACAAATCACTTAAATGTATAACATGATTGTTTATGCATACAGAATCAAGTTCACATAATGTGCAACACAACCTATAAGAGGTTAGAGCTTGCTGACATTTGATTAAATGGCTAAAACATGACAGATCATTTTGTCTACATAATAGCAGAATATTAAAATAAACTGTCAGTTAAGTTTGATCTTCTTATTAAGTCTGTTCTTTATATTACAAATACATACCGATTTTTTTTTCAAACAAAGTAGTACTACAATACAATGAGTGCTGCAGAGTTTCATTAAAATAAATGACATACTTTTCAGAAGGTCAAGAGCTTAACACACTATAGATAACTAAAAAGCATTAACAAGACAAGCTACAATTTGTAATGATAGAGAACACTTCATTATCAGCCTTTCTGTTTTAAAATGTCTGAATATAGATCTGACTCTGCTGTTCAAAGTGCAATCATTTCAACATTAGCGTACATTAAAATGAATGCTACAGTTCCTCTTCCAGCACAACACAGATGCATCTAATTACATCACATCACCAATGTCATCAACAGCGTTTGTACAGATACAGTTGGAGAATCAGCACATTCTTTGATCAACATGTTTTGTTGCTCCTGGACAGCATTTATGTCAAACTAGCATGGCCCTTACCCTAACCCTAACCCTAACCCTAACCCTAAAATCTGTTGGGTCAATTGGGATGCTGTTCCAGGAACTCGCCCTACTTGGCAAAATCATTATCACCCAGTGATTCATGTCTTAAATCTCTTGGGATAGGATCAGAGTAGTGAGGTCAATCTTTTAAAGTGTGTTTTATGAAACTTAAAAACGCATGTTTTTCCTTTTGTCTTTTAAGAAATGCTGTTTTATTGGAGGCCACTAGGTGTGTTGCATCACACTGTGAGGTTAAGTTGAAGTAAGGCATTGTTTGAGAGAGGTGGCAGCTGTGACACCTGAGGCGAGAAATCTCTGTCACTTCAAATGTCCTATATAGTGCATCTGGATTTAATGGCATCGTGTTGCAGTTCCCATAAACTCTATTATTTTTCATTGAGAATATTCACAATCCAAACGTTTCTGCATTAATATGGCAGATGTTAAACACATCAGTGAAAATCTTTTAAACACTTCAAATCAAATGCATAATCCTCAGATTTATCAACCATTGATAACATCAATGAATGATGGATTCAATGTATTTGGTGTCATTTCTTATGCATAGGCAATTAATATTTTAAATTTTTAGGTCAAACGCTGCATTCATTTGATTTCAGTAATTTAGCCCTAGGCGTTTTTAGGAGGATTTAATAATAATACTGGTTCCTTAATGATTCCATAAACAATTTCTGTTTATGTACTTTGAATAATGTTTTGGAATCATATTTTAATGTTTTTTTTAATACCTTTACATTATATATATGACCAAGTTAGTCACTAGACTGATTCAAACTGATAACATGAGATTTTTGGATCTTTTTGACCATTTCATTCAATATTTTTATACTCTATTTACTTTGTTATTGCATTGCATTCACCACCCTTTCACTGCAGTGTTTCATATGTATCAGCATGAAAACACGAATGTTCAAGAACCGTTGACGGAAAATGACTGGTTTAAAACTGAACCGGTTCTGAATAAGATTCCCAGCCCACTATAGCACTTTATATAATATAAGCCTCAGAGGACGGCAGTCCATCTGGTCTCCACACACTAGTGTTTTTACAGTGAGCTAATACAGCCTCTGTGACCTATACGTCAGTGTAAAGAGCTCACTGAATGTAAAGTGCGTCCCATTCTGAAGAGCAGGAGAAGAGGGTCAAAGTGACAATGGATTGAGCCCAGATTTACATATCGGAAAGGTCACAATGTGGCAAGGGTATTCACTTTACTGTCTGTCTCAAATCCTCGAGTGGTCTTCTCGCATTCTCTCTCATTCCTCAGCGTTTGCCATAGTATTTTATCTTTCGTTACTTCTGGAAATTAATTTCAATGTAGCGCATACAGATTTTAGTATCAATCTGAGGTGAAAGATTGACTGAAAACCCATTTTACTTCTGTAATGTGAGGTATGATTCAAATGCAGAGTGGGAACGTCTCAGGTTACTTATGTAACCATGGTTCCCTGAGTAGGGAATGAGACACTGCGTCCTCTAGGGGTCGCTATGGGGAACGCCTCGTCGTGACCCGTGTCTGAAGCATACATTGAAAAAACACCAACTCGTTGGCCGGCGACAGGCATGACATCACTACCGGTGCGACTATAGTATAAATAGGCGTCGGGAGCACACATCATTCACTTCTTCTTCTGAAGCTTGCGTCCACAGCATGGCAAGAAACCTAGAGGACGCAGTGTCTCGTTCCCTACTCAGGGAACCATGGTTACATAAGTAACCTGAGACGTTCCCTTTCATGGTCAATCGGGAATTGACAGGCTGGTGAAAACAGAACAGACCAGGTCATATGAATTCATTAATATGAATAATACCGGTAGAAAGCTATCCGTTAGCATTCCCATTCATCTCAATGGCAGTTGCTCAGTTGGCCTGTCACTGCAAAACCTGTTTGCTGCCATCTGTGTTCATGACTCCTAAACCTAACCATTCGTCAACAATATAAAACCAGCCTGGTCTCTTTGTTAATATGTAGCCGTACATATAGAACATTTACAGTTACAAAAAC